TTAATTGGTTTTTAAACACTCGTTTCTCAAACCCGTGAGAATCACTGGCGCTGCGAACGGGATCAGAAGAACGATTCATGCGGTGCATTAGTATTGTATGTTCGATGAATTTTCATTTCTTTAGTTTCCAGTTCGAGCTTCTCTCGCTACGCGTTCTGTGTAGATTTGTGCTGCATTTAGGTGTATCCGTCGGTGAACAGCAACAAATGGAACTGTTTACGCAACATTCGCTATGATGGTTCGAAAAAGAAAAATTATCCAGGATCAACGTAAGGATTTCGATCTTCTTCACACACGAAGAATTCAGTCGAAGACTGACGATAATGTACTTTCTTTGAGAAAGAAATTGCTGCTACTGTCACATGCTGGCAGAGAACCGAACCCCGATCTCTGGTTTTATACATCAGTGCGCTTTTCTCATGTCAACCATCTCTGGATGGAAGAATCGTTTTCTTTATCTGAAATTGCTCTAACTGCTTTTTGCAACAATGTCAGAATTTAAAAATAGATTAATAAAAAGGCTGGCGATACGCTTTAGTACAAAAGCAACACAGATTTTCATGATAAAAGAGATGAACGAACTGTTGAGTACGATTTAATGCATATTGTTCAAAACCCCAATCGCAATTACGTTTAATTTTACAATCAATTTAAGGAAAAAAATTAACTAACATGACAAATCATTTGACACATATAGATGTGGATTTCATTCTTTATTAAATGAAAATCTAATGCACAAAGTACCACTTGAAAGTATTTCAATTCAGGGTTTTTCGATTAAACAGGTTAATGCTATACATACTGCACACTAGAGTTAATATCAAGAGTCTAGTCATAGGGCCAGTAGCGGCCTTGTTTTTCCTTTAGCTAGGCCAGCACACTTTTGCAATATGTGAGAAATATAATAAAACATTTGCTTAAAAGTTGTTTATTATAGAATGACTATATAAATCGAAAAATAAACTTAACAATAAACATATGCGTGTTAAGTTTTGCTACCTAAAGATGACTAATTATCAATTAAACAGATTTCTTTGAGAAATATTTAATCAAAATTTCATAGGTCGCTTAATTAAATTGCATCTACTTTATGGCAGGTTTTCACAGGCGAAAATCAATCCGTTTCATAAATAATTTAAACAATGTTGTTTCTAAATTACAACCAGTGTCAATAATCTGTTAAAGGTTAGTCTGAATATTCGTCCTATTTGAATAAAGTTAGCATAAAATAAGTATGAAGTGTAATAGTTCCTTTTGAAACATTTCGGTATTAAGTTTAGCAGTTAATTTTTTACTTCAGTTTTTACTTTCCATTAAATCTAAAAAAATGCCACAATAACTATTAGAGATAGTTTTTGATTCTTGATAAAATTTAACCTGAAGTATTATACAAATAATTTCCTTCACTTAAATTTAATTCCGAAATTTCTGAGTCTAAAGTAGTTGTTGAATTTATAATTTTGTTTATTTCTACATAAATTAACTGAATCTGTTGAAGGTCAGATAATAATATTCCTACTATTGATTTTACTGATATCACTAAAACCTAGGAAAAATTTTCAGTTGTCAATAACGAGAATGAATAGTAAAACTATTGTGCAAACAAGTTGTTTATTGTTTTAATATAACGAACAATTGTATGGACGTGTCAGATGTGTCTAGTATTTTTTCTAAGGCAGACCAAAAATTTTAAATGTCAGCAAAACATGGTATTAAAAAATTTTTCTAACGAGAATTTTTAGTCACTTAGACAAATGTATTGCTCTTTAATCTCATTTTTTAAATCATTTTCTTTTTCATTTCGTTTAAATAAAGTTTTCGTTTTTTTAGACACGTATTTTAACTTTAAACAAAAATAACTTGCATTTACTGATAATACGTTCAGTATGACCTAGGATAAACATGTTCGCCGTATGCGCGCACCAGTCACAGAAATGACCGTCTATGGTCAGAAACTCGTTAATGAGTGAGTCTATTGCACACTATAACTGTGAATTACCACTTTTACAAAATTTATGAATTAATGAAAATATACATTTTCGTCTTCTTTATTGACATATAAAATTCGATGGACATTCACGAACTAATGCAAATTTGGATGCATAAATATATATGAAAAACGATACAATTAAATTTAACGGCAAAAACTATTAAAATGAATACATATAATAATTCTACAATACTTGTTTCATCAAAGGCCGAAGCAACTAAAAAACATTTATCAGTAGTAGCCGATATAAATGGCGTAAAACTCAAATATGTGATAAGTGGACCTTCTTATTAGATCTAAAAAACACAACACATTAAATGGTAACACACCGTGGTTTTGTCATACTTTGGGGTCAATTGACGGTAAGAAACGATAAAAACCCTTTAACATACATAGACAATATCCTACTAACAGAAGTGAAATAGGATAACCCATTTTCTTATGTACATTGATGTCTTTCAAAACTGACATACGATTTACAATAGAGGTAATTGTGTATATAAAGCACTTGTCTAATTAATTGTAGTTAGCTGTTTTTAATTTGATAAGTAAGTACTGGCAGTTTAGTAATTAAATATCTTTATTTTTACAATCAGTGTCGGAATAGAAATGGTTACAGGCGTTCGAAATGTGGTGTTTCAGGAGAACGATGCGGATACCATAGATAGAGAAAGTTAGAAATTAAGAGGAATTAAAAAGAATAAAAGAGCAGAGGACTCTATAGAATAAGAACAAGAAATAATAAATAGACGAGAATGTTTCTCAGGCATGAAGGACTAGTCACTAGACATATTAGAAGCAGAAGCAGCAGTTAGGAGGCGTAGTGGTAGACCTAGGTTAGATTACTGTTTGCAAAAGGTTTAGGATGTCTGGGATATTCTAGTTTTAGGGAAATGCGAATATTAACTCAGGATAGAAAAGAGTAGAGGTGCGTGTCCAACCAGTTTCAGGACTGACGATCGTATGATAATGAATCAGTTTCAATTATTGAATATTATTGTCATTAAGAATGGAAAATGAAGATTCGTATTCAAATTAAGAAGAACTTTAAAAAACCAATTGCAATACAGTAGACTACAGACAACAAAATTAAAAAAAGCAAATAAACAATAAATAATTATTGATATCAGCTGATAATAATTAAATGTATTAATTTAATCGTTCGATATGCTCCCCATTCAACTTTAAACAATTGTTTACCCTTCAGGTAAACTCATGTATAACAGCTTGAGCTATTAAAATAATATATTAAATAATTATCTCCTAATATCGTTAATTATTTAATGTTCGTATTTTCTATTTTGAATAACAAAGTGTGAACACTCTGTATAGTACATAATTCGTAAACGTACGGTACATGCACATGTATGCGAGCGAATCAGCTTTTTTATCGTCGCTGTCGATTGACCAAAACTGGGCCAACCATCAAACTCGGACCAAACTACTTTATAAACATTTAGCATTTAGAAAATACTACAAATGGCGCAGTAAACGCCATCTGTAGCACGATGCTACATTTTAGGATTACGTATGCTCCAACAAGGTCCACTTGTGTGGATATCTACTTGCTGAAAACGAATCCCGGCGTAGCCAACCTCAACGTGATAGGCACGTTAGCTTAATCGAATAAAATAATTCGAA